CTCTTGTTTATTTTCTCGTTCTTCTTGTTTCTTTTCTTTTTCCTCCGACAACTGTTGTACTCTCTTCTTGTTTCTTTTGCTGTTCTTCTATTGCTGTCATCAAATCTGCTAAGTCATAGTTTGATTTGCCACTTCTCGTTTCCATCTTCTTTCTTTTTTTTTCATCCCACTCCTGACACCAATTTGTTGCATATCTGCCTATTTGTTAATTTCCGGTGGAAATTATTTCCGAGGAACTTCGGTGATACAAGTCCTTTCTTGATTAAACCAGTTTATTCTTTCTCGATTCAACTTTTAGTAATACACAGAATTTCCACAGTCACTTTAAACTTAACAAAGAGGCCAAAGACACCACCAAAAGACAAATGTGATGAGATGTAACTTCAGTAATATCATAACGAACAAGACAGAACAACTGCACAATCAAACTTGTGAATGTGTATGGAACAAAATCTGTAGAAAGAGAACAAACATAAGGTATAAACAGCTGATGCCAATTCCCTTGAAAATATTCTGTTCTTACAGACTAGACATAGAAAATGTTTGTAAGAAGGAGAAACAGGATCAGTTAGAGTATGTAACACAACAGGAGAAAAACAGCAATGACCATCTCTCCCATTTCAAGTCTGTGGTATGAAGGCTCTAATAGGAACTTCCTTGGGAAAAGGGACACAGTATGAAAAACTTCAATGGCACAAATGTCTGAATATTTCTTCTCTGAAGTAAGTTACACAATAAAATCTTCCCTAAGTGAGTAACAAAATAAATTATGTCTTCAGGGAAATATGGTAGAGTGAAAATCTTGCAAAGGATTTAAAAGAAGAAGCTTAAGACAACATTAAGTCCCACTGAGGACATTATCTAGATATTTGTGAAAACTATAATAAAAAAACTCAAAAAAGATGCTGAAAAAAAATGAAAGCCCAACATAGTCACAACTTCTGTGGCAACTGACAATGACAAGAATGCACTATTTGAGATGACTCTAAATGTTGTATTACTACTCCCTCAATATCAACTTAATTTATGCAATGGCTACATCTCTAGTGCTCAAGAGAATCTCTCACAACAACTGTTTTATTAAATACAAGTAATATTTTTCCCTGTAGTGGCATGTGGCCGATGTCTTTTCTAGTCATCACCTGGTCCTACAAACATATTAGCATACCAAATACTTAAAAGGTTCTTGAATCCAATTTGTTTGCATAATTCCCAATTAACAACCTCAAATGCTCTGGAAATCTTGCATATATATCCTCAGTTGTAGTGCAGCTGAAGCAATCTATTGTGGTTAGTTCCAGTCACTTATGCTTCATTCACTGTACCAGGAAGATGGTGAATTGCCGTCTGTCCATAATTACAAGTTATCAATGGCACAAATCTGATACTCAAAGGCATGACTGTGAGCAATTGCAGCTTGATTTCTGCAGAAAATAATTCGTGTTAGTCCCACCACTGTAGAAAATAGCAGACTAGCTCCATACAACACCTCAGAACACTACTTATACATTTGGAAGTACTGTGACTTCCTTCCGGACATGTACTTTTGTGGTCAGCTGTTTTGGGGCTCTGAAAAGGGCATTGGCTACTTTTACACAATACTGTAATTTAACTGCTCTACAGGCCATGCTTATTTAAATTTCTTGCAGCAGGTTCATTCAGTAGGAGAAAGGGCCAAAGATAATATTAAGAAACACCTCTCCACACACTTTAAAGCAGTCTTCGTTAGCCAGAATTAAGTTTTGCATGATCAAATTAGTGCCTCATAAAATGCAAGATCAGCCAGAGGTTCTAGCAGCTCCTGTATTAACCAGGAATTCAACTTTCATGTCCATGCACTTTTATCAATATGTAGCAAGCCCATTTGGACTTGCCTGAACTAGCTTAGCTACCACACCCTCAGATATAGTCTTTGACCTAGGGGTACAGCTGTTGCAGAAAGGTTGTAGACAAGCTGTGGGGTTGGTTGGACTTGTACATTCCTCCAATCTTGCCTCAATATGTGGGAGGTTTCACTTGAAATGCTCAACAATTCCACAGCCAAAGCATGTGCTTCATCCCTTCTGTCTAAAGTGCCACCGGGAGGCACCTGCTACAAAGCTATCATTGAAGGCCCTTATACCCCTTACATAGTGTAGTTGAGTCAAAAACCTAGATGGTTCTTTCTGCAGAGGAGTAAGTTAAACACAAGTTCTTTGGGATGGTGTTTTCTCTGAAGGTAATTTTAGCTGAGTCAGTACCATTGTACTACCACTTTAAGCTTCTTTCTCTCTCTGTTGAAACCAGATGGAAATCTCTACCTCAAACCAGCTTGCCTCAGAAATGGCTTCTTTAGAGGCAGAATATATTGTTACGTCTCCGTTTGTTTGTTAATTAATTTTCCGTAAATTCGTTCCAACGAAACTTTAGCGACACAAGTCCTTTCTTAAATAAAACTGGTTTATTCTTTACGAATACAACTTTACCGATACACTTAATCTCAACAGTCGCTCTATAACAAACGCTAGAACATCTCATGTACTCGTGCTCGACAATACTCAGTTCAATTACTCATTACCTTACACATCCCTCCGTCGCTTCGTGGCAGGTCTGATATATACCAGACTACCCCCAATCTAGTAGTCTCCCGATAATTCACGAAGGTTCGAGAAGGACGTGGCGTGATACTAGTCACCTGACCTTGCTGACGCAACAATATCTTCCTGTATAGGTAGAGCAATCATCTGCAAAGCATTTTTGAGGTCCTCATTTTGAGCTTTGAATTTGGACTGATAGAGAGCTTGCTTCTTTATTGAGATAGAATGTTGTACAAATCAGTTATGACTGCATCCAATCACTGAGTTGTTCTTTGTTAAGATGCTTGACTGCCTCAAATATTGCATTGCCTATCCTTACATTATTCTTTTCATACAATTATCTTAAATATTAAAAGGAGGGATTCAAGTTTCCTTTGCCATATTCTTTAACTTCAGTATCATTATCTGCTTCATTTATCTGTGGCAGCAAATATAGATACAATTTGTTGACATCCCACTCAACATGCAACTGAGATATCTATAACATTTAAGGTACTGGTTCCTTAATGCCCAAATTCTCCAGCATTCCTAGATATATGCAGACTACAAAATCATTAACAGATACAGATATAAAGCTAGACCATATTATTGTAGAACTACCTTATTTATTAATATTGTTGCGTCAGCGAGGTCACGTGACTAGTATGACGCCACGTTTCTAGAACTATCTTGTTCCTTCATGAATGGCCTAGCATTTACTAGATAGGTTAGTCTGGTATATATATAAGAGGGTGACAACGTGACGCAATAATGTGTGTGCAGTCAGAGAGTATTATTGAGCACGTTCGTTGTTATACCGTTTGTTTTAGCGCGATTGTTGAAATTAAGTGTATCCTAAAGTTATATTCGGAAAGAATAAACCAGTTTTATTAAGTAAGGACTTGTGTCGCTAAAGTTTCGTCGGAACGAAGTTACGGAAAGTTAATTAACAAACGAAGACGTAACAATATGTACAAAATCAGTACAAGTTGAGACCTAAACTTACACAACTACATCTGGAAGAAATGAAGATAAAGCTACTTTAAGCTAAAGTACAGGTCGAGAAAATTAAGATGGGAGCTAGTAAGTAGTAAGTGAATGTAGCTAACATAGCAGTAGCTGGGAAACAAATATGTATTCTAAAGTAATAAACTTATGTAACACTTCACAAGTGTGGGTGTAATATTCCATACTGTGAGAAAGCAATGGGTAGTGAGATTTTTACAACACAATGCCTGTAAAAAATTACTAATTAGGAAATTAAAATATTCTTAAATATTTTATTGAGCATAAAAACTAAGACTAGCATCATGAAATAGTCTTAGGAAGGGAACTTAGAAAATATAAAAAGATAACAGTCAAGACTCAAAAGGGCACCAAATTGTTTCGATTAAAAAATTGTTCTGCCTAAACTTTTGAATCTCCTTTGATATTAAATGCATTTCAAATCAATGCACTTTTAATAATTATTACTTATTATACTTAAGTAACACTTTTTTAAAAGTACTATGTGTATGAAAGCCATTTATATATAATAGGATGGGTACAATAGTTAATTTGTTTTCATTTCTAATTCCTAATTTATTAGTAAATTTCTCAGGAACCAATCTTTTCCATTTAAAAAAGTAGAAATGTTGAAAACTGATAATTTTTACAAAGCTTTGTCACTCATGAATTGGACTGAAGTATTATGGAAAATCTCAGTAAGAAATAATGTTTTAAGAAAATTTATATATAAAACAATTGCAAAACTTCTATTATTGGCATACTTGGTTGAATAGTTTTATATATTTATGTAGTGTGATTTTTTAACAGTTTTTATATGGCTGAAAAAAAACTGTATGACTAACACTAAAAGTCATAATAATATTTGATTTTTTAAAATGAAACTTATTGTAGTAAAAGACAATTGCAAATTGCAAATTTTACTGACACTTTAATGTTCATCTCATTACAGTGGACCTTCAGCTCAAATTATCAACCAGTAATAAGTAAGATGTTTGATATTTTTACTATAAAATAATTAATAAACAACTGTAGAAGAACTACTTATAGTTCATCATGTTTTGGACCACTAAATTCTTCATGAGAAATCAAACCATCCTTATTTTTATCTTCATGCACAAATATTTCATCAATTAACTTCTTCTGCTCAATATCTTCCTCCAGTTCAGCAGCATCAGCTCCAGGAACCTGTTTGGCTATATATTCCACAAGCTGTGAGAAGTATAAACAGAATGCTTGTTTATTTATCTACTATATCTATCACCAGTAAATTTAAGCATATAAAAATTCATCCTTCAAACTTTTATTTATTGTATCTACTTTAATAAATTTAAAATCTATATAACATTTTATAATGTGAAACCATTTGCTCACTGTGTTTGCCAATATTTAGTTTTATTTTGAGAGATAGGATAAAAGTCATGGAATTGGACTATTGTTTGTCAAAACAAAAGCCTGAATCAGAGATGTGTCAATATGACTAAATTCTATATTCTGTCTTATACAACTGTGAAAATATGTCTGAGTGTTTTGAGAATGCCTTTCTGATTCAGATATTTTAAAAATGTTTTTATAAAGAAATTTGAATAATTTGAACTGAATGGCATCAATATGACCAAACCCTCAACTTCAACAAAAAAAATATGTTGTCTTTTAGTGTTTGCAAAGTCAAATGGAGTACAGAAGACATTTATAAAAACAGTCAATGTTTCCAGAGACTTGCAATTGTAAAGTGAACCTTGAAAAAAGCCACCATGCAAAACATTAGTCATAAAAATAAAAAAGTTGATCTGCAAACTTTGGTCTTTTTTCCCCCTAATCAATAAATATTCCAAAATCTGCTGTTCTCCTTAAGTCTAGACAAAATATAACCTGTTAATCACGGTCATGTGAGTGGAGCAAAAAAAAAAAAGCTATGTATATAATGTACTTATTTAGTGAAATAAATGTGGTTTTGTTTGTCAAAGTGCTGTCAGTAAGAGGTATTGACTTCACATTTATGTTATCAAAGATTAACTTAACTGATGATATTGCCAGTTTTTCAGCTGTTACTTTCTACAATTGTTATTCATGCACTCACATAAAATAAAACTAATGTTTAAAGTTATAATGATCATGTGTTTACTCTGTTAGATTTCCTATTTTCATACAAACTAACAGGTTATTTTAAATTATCATTTTGCACTTGACTTACTTCTTCTCGAGACAATTGACTATCTTCATTTGAATCTATTTCTTTGAAAAGATTGACAAGTGGAGGTCCATCCTCAATATTAAGCAATTCTGTCTCGAATATGAGTGTCGCATTAGAGGGAATACTTGTTCCTAGAATAATAATAGTAAATGTATTAACACTCTCAACTAATCATTTTATAAACTGAAATTCTGAGTGACAAAAGATACTGTTACGTCTCCGTTTGTTAATTAACTTTTCGTAACTTCGTTCCGAC